ATGAGCTTACATCTTTAAAAATATCAATAATTAAGAAATGACCTTCTATCTTGTGAACTGTTGACATTTTTAAAGATATAAGCTCATCTCGATGTTATACTCATCAAGAGCTTTCATTTGAGTACCCACATGCATTTTCATATATTTTTCATAAATACATATATATAATATATATAAATATATGAAAAATTGATGTGGGTACTTAAATGAAAGGTCTCGATGAGTGTAATGTCAGAATGAGCTTATATCTTTAAAAATGTCAATAATTCACAAGATACAAGGTCATTTCTTAATTATTGACATTTTTAAAGATATAAGCTCATCCTGATGTTATACTCATCAAAAGCTTTCATTTGAGTACCCACATGCATTTCGATATATTTTTCATATATACACATATATAAATATATAAAATATATGAAAAATTGATGTGGGTACTCAAATGAAAGGTTTCGATGAGTGTAACATCGGGATGAGCTTATATCTTTAAAAATGTCAATAGTTCTCAAGATACAAGGTCATTTCTTAATTATGTATCTAGAGATAATTTACATTTTTTTAAGAAGAATGTAATTTTTTCTGAAAAGTAATTTTGTCTCTGAGTGATTACACTCAATAATATGACAAGAAATAAAATACTTACTCTAAGGCAGCTTTCGATGAACTCCTCTATCGTAATTACACCATCATGATTAAGATCGAGTTTTTCAAAGACTCTATCTAACTGTTCTTTAGCTTTACGCTCTTCTTCCGCAGGATGTTTGCGGCCCATAAGTTCATGCACAGCCGTAACAACTTCTCCCAGCTCGCCTCTGGTTATACATCCGTCACCATTAATATCGTAAAGCTTGAATGTCCACCTAAGTTTCTCGTAAATGCTACCTCGCAGTAGCGTCGAGAGAGTAACAAGTAGATCCTGAAATACGAGACAGCAATTACACTTTTTTATTCTTCTTAATATTACTATTATTATAATTGAATCATAAAGATGATTTTATAAGAAGAAAAAGAAGCTTCAATGGTATAATAAAAGTTTTTATAAAATATATTATTAAAAAATGATAAAGAAGAAATATTAACAATTACCCTGAAGCTGATGGCCCCATTGCAGTTAACGTCGAAAGCTTTGAATACGTAGTGAGCATAAAGGCTAGAATCTACAATAGAAGAAAGTAATAAAATCCTCTTAGTTTATTTTGTTTCTTTTCTTCCAATTAAATGGAAAAAGTGAATAATTGTTTAATTTAAACTCACTTCCGTGTGGAAAAAACTTTGCATAAATGTCTTTGAATGAATCTTCTTGAACAACGCCCTCCGGGCATTCCTTGAAACAGATGAAAAAGTAACTTTAGGCTTTCTTTTAGTATATATCTTTATATTTATATATATATATATATACATATATATATATTCTAAAGAAAAGTAAAACAATTTTACACTTCCAAGAAAGTATGAAGTTTATAACTTTACTAAATTTATAAAGTCTTATTTATACTGTGAATAGTTTTAAAGTTTAAATAACAAAATGTCAATATATATTTTTTTGAATAAATTATTATTAATTTATTAATTATAATTATTATCAATAAATTATTATTATTAAATAATTGTATAAGCTATTATTAATAAATTATATGATGAATTATTTAGCAGATATTTAATAATTTTTTTCAACAAATAAATTATGGCAAAAAAAATGAGAAAAAAATATTGATATGTAGAAATTAAAAAAAATTACATATGCAATTTTTTAAAAATAATTTTTCAGAAAAAATTTATTTATTAAATAAAATTAAAAAATTACCAAGTTACTCTACTAATTTTAATGTCATATAAATTATTTATTTTTTATTTTATTTATTTATTAAATTTTTATCCTAAAGTGTGCTCCTTAAGGACCATCATAATTAAATTATTGTCTATAAATATGATTATAAAATGACTTATTTTAAACGTTACATAATTTTTTAACTTTCTTTAAATTAAAATTTTTTAATTTTTAAACTTTAAATTTATTAAAAAATTTTTTAAAAAATCTCTATAGATTTATAAATAATTTTTTTTTTTTTATTTATAAAAGAAAGAAGAAATATTAAAAATTATTCTAATGAAAAAAAAAAAGCTATATTAATCATAAAAAAAAATTTTTTAAGTAATTTTGAAGAATATTCTTATTATCTAACCAATTTTTATAAGTACACTGAAAAAAAAAATTTCTTTTGATAAAAATCAACATTTTTGTGACAAAAAATTAATTTTATTTTAAAAAAGTTTTCTAAATTTGAGAAAAAAAAATTCTGGATGAAAATTTTTAAGTCGTTTTTTTTTTTCCAAATTTGGAGAATAATTTTTATTTCTTCAGCTAAGAAATAAAATTGTTGAAAATTTCTAACAAATTAATTTTTTTAAAAAAGAAATTTTTTTTCAGTGAAGTTTACCTAAATTAAGCTAATTATTATTTATTAAAGCGAATAATTTAATATCAAAGTTCTGAATTTTTAGAAGATGGCTAAAGAAATATTGAAGAAGAAATCGTTAAGATCTTATCAAGAAGTCAAAAACTTGAGGAAAAAGTAAAGCTAAATCTGTCAAAACCTAGATTTATTTTTGAGATCATCCCGTACGTGAGTTGCATACAAAATACTGTGAAAAGTTGAGTCGTTTAGTGACACCGAGTTGCACCCGCTCAATTCGCGGATGAATAAAGAAAAAAAGGCTAAAAAAAAAAATCAAATGGTAATCTCTGATGCAAAGAAACGCGGTGAGACTTTTGTTATTGCCATAAAATTATGCATCCGCAATTTTCTCGGTGTGTAAAATTTATGAGTGGAAAAAAAATATTCATGAATGTTTTTTTAATTTCTATTTTGCATTCAAACTTTTTTTAGTGCAAGAAATAAAATACTTTTTATAGAAAATTTTAAAATAATATTTAATTGTTTTTATATTTTTTTATAGAAGATTTTTTTATCTGTTCTATTTAAATGGATTTTATCTGAAATAAAAATTTTTATTTTTGATCAATATCAAAGATAATAAATCCGTCATGACTCGTCGCCATAAACTTTTAATTATCCTGATAAAAGCTCGGTTTATTCATGCATAATAAAAACAGATACTGTCCAGAAGTAGATTGACAAGACCGATAAACTTGTAATCGACCTGGAATCCATCTACTTTATAATATGTTTGCATATGTAGAATGAAGTTAATGTTTGTAGAAGAATAATTCGCTCACTTGTCCGAAAAAAAAAACTATTAAAAAAAATTCTAAAGCATATTTCAAAAGTTTACTAAGAGCATTGTTAAAAGTTCTTCATGTTTAATTAACCTGTTGCTTGTTTTTAAGAAAATAACAATGAAAATAATTGAGTACTTCTTGATATTTCTTTTAAAAATTTAAGTAAAGAAAAAATTTATAAATAAGGTTGAAAAAAAAAGGAAATTTTCCGATCAAGTTTATTTGAAAATTTTTTTAGATCAAAACAAATAATAGAAAAAGTGTCTTAAATTTTTTGAATATGATTCAATATTTATTTTTTTTTAGTTTTGATTTAAAAAAATAAAATTTTATTGTTGAAAATTTATACTAAATTTTATTTTCTGAATTATATTTTAATAATTTTATAAATCGTTTATTAAAGTATTGAAGTTACTATACTCTCTCTTATATTTAACTAAATTTATGATAAAATAAAAAAGACGGCATTCGGCCACACCCGAAATGGAAGGTAGATGTCATAGAATTAATCATCATTTTGTTTCAATAACTTTCGTTTGACATGGAATGAAATTTATTTCAACATATATACATAATAAGTAGATTGTATTACACATTGTCTGAAAATGGTTCAATTGAACTTTTAACTTCGATAACATAACTAATAATTGTCAAAAATTTAACGTTATATACGTCAAATTAAAAGGAATTTTATAAGCTTTCAACATGAATTTATCAAAAATTAGCTAGCTTTTTGTAATTAAAAGTTATACATAAATGAAGTCGTCAAAAACGTAATTTTTACTATTTTGATTATTTTGAAGAGCTACTATTTCTGAACTAATCGAAGTATTTCGCTGATTTTAGGGCTCATGCAAGCTAATTGTCCTAGGAATCTATATATACTAAATTTCATAAGGATCTGTTGAGAATTCTCGACAGAATAACATTCATAAGTCGGTTGTACTACCCGTTACCTGAAAATGGTTCAATAGAACTCTTAACTTTGATAAAATAACTAAAAATGGTAAATAGACTAATAGACCAAATTGAAGGTAATTTCATGACCTTTCACATGAATTTATCAAAAATTAGCCATCTCTTTTCAATCAAAAGTTATATATCAATGCACGGAAAAATAAAGTAAACTGTAATAAACAGTAGATTTATAATAATAAGTAATGATCAACTGCTAAAAATTACCATTTTAAACAGTAAAATCGTGATTTTATTATTCACTTTATAATATTTACCATTTCAACGTTACAATTTACTCTTTACATGACAGAAAATACTATTTCAAACAGTAATATTCGCTATGTGAATGTCTAAAATGTTTAAGTATAATAATTAAGAATTCAGACTTTGATATTTATCATTTCGTACTTAAAAAATGATTTTATAAAGTACAATTGCAAAGTAAAATTTTACAAAGTAAAATTACAAAGTAATTTACAAAGTAAGGAGTGAGACCCTCTTCTCTTTCATCTGAGTTCTCTTTCTCCTCATAATATACACGGAGAGAAAAATGTGGAAATCATTCCTATAATTTTAATGAAATATTTTCCTATACCATTTTAGGAGCGATTACTTAAATTATGGGAATTATACCCATAATTTTTGGGAAGCATTACTATAATTATGGGAATGGTTCCCATAATATTATAGGAATGATGCCAATAATATTGGAGTAATTTTTTTTCACACAACTGTGGTATTTAATTAATTACTTTTCACTAGATTTTTTTTTTTTTTTTTTGATTAAGTGATTCTTTTTTTATAATATATAAATTGATAAAAAAAGTTATCAGTAATAATATTTATTATTATTATAAATAACAGTCGATTTATAATAAGTAATGATTAACTGCTAAAAATTACCATTTCAAACAGTCAAATCGTGATTTTACTATTCACTTTATAATATTTACCTTTTAAACGTTACAATTTACTCTTTACATGGAAGTAAATACTATTTCAAACAGTAATATTCGCTATGTAATGTCTAAAATGTTTAAGTATAATAATTAAGAATTTTGACTTTGATATTTATCATTTCGTACTTAAAAAATGATCTTATGATATGTAAACAGTATAAAATAAAGTTAGTAAATTTCTTATACAAGCAACGTCAATATTTACAAAGTATAATGGTAAATTTTAAACGCAACGCTAAAAATCAAACTGTAGTTATTGACTTGCTTGGACTGGTAAAATGTGTATTTTAAAAGTATAATTTTTACTGTTTCACATGTTAAATTCTCCCAGAGTGAGACCCCCTTCTCTTTTATCTGAGTTCCCCTTCTCCTCATAATATAGACTATATATTGAAATGGCAATTTTTACTCTTTGAAACTGTAATTTTTTAAGATGAAAGAGTCGTTATTTACTATAGTGACAGGTACTAATCACTTATTTTGGATATTAAATTATAAATTGTGGCTTTTATACTTTCTACATTAAGTTCTGTAATATTTATATTTTTGCCACCCCGATGTCCGCTTTACTGTTTGAAACTATAAAAATTAACCGGAATCCGAGTGAATATTACAGTTTACTTTTTTCCGTGTGAAGTCACCGAAAACGTGATTTTTACTATTTTGATAATTTTAAAGAGCTACCATTTTTAAACTTATTGAAGGATTTCGCTCATCTTCCACCTCATTTAAGATTATTATCCAAAGAATATGTGTAACAAATTTAATCTAGATCCGTCAAGAATTATAAACACAATCGCGGCCACATCCCGCGTTATATTACATATATATCGACGTTCTAATTAGCAAATTGTCTAACTCCATTTTAGAGAATCTTCTATTTGTACAAAAAAAACAATTAGTTTAAAATTTTTTATCACTTAAAAAAAAAACCATTTAATATCATTATTATTTAATAGAGATATAATATTTAGGTTTAAATCATTCAAATAATTTATAATTCGATTATGGCGACATTAAAATGTTAAAAAATCACCCTCTAAAAAATAAGGAGTTAGACAAATTCCTAATTATAGACCATCGATATGTATATATATAAATTTTTTAACTAACGTTATTTTTGAGCTTTACTCGACTAGTTAAGAGATATTACGACAAAATTCCGACATGAGGACCAATGCAAAAGATTGATTTCTATGAAATCTACCTAAAAACAGTAATTTAGGAAATGAATCTGTCGCAAGTACAAATAAAATATTTGCTGATGATATATTGTAAATAGTAAACAAATTTACTATTTATGTACTTCCGATGCGATTATTGTGTACCTTTTATTATAAAATAAATTATGATACAAACTGGAAATAGAGCGAAAGTGAGGAAGTGAGAGGAACTGAGAAAAGGGTGAAAAATAAAAAGGGAAGAAAAAGACAGATGGGCTTTATCGATTACCTTTCTTTGAATATGACGTCATGAGTGAGTGTGGCATAAACTTAACTCGAGAACTAACAGTTTTTCTCTTTGACATGTATTTCCATGTGAAATAACATTCCTTTAAGGGCAAAAAATTTTAAACTATCTCTTTAATACTTAAAAAAAAAAAAAAAACATAAAACTTCTTTTCCTAATTGAAACAGTGAAATTTTTGTTTCAGAAAATAATTTTTAATTTTTTGAACAATAGTAGGGAATTATTTTTAAACTTAATCAATAAAGTCGCCACCCTAAAAATATTTGTACTAGTTAAAT